CTGTTGGACCTTCTAATTGCATGAATATTTTGCCACTATATTAGTTCAATATAGCTTTGCAATTGATTAGATTATGGAACCTTTTAGAGTTGTGTAAATGTGTTTTCACATAGTATTAGTTTAGAATTGCATGAATATGTTCTGCCAATAACTCATGTATTAGATTCTCACGCCAGCTCATGTATTGGTTTGATTTGAACTTATAAGTTTAGTCTCCTGTGTTATAATGTACTAATTCACTTGGTTCGTGGCATACTTGTTCAAATTGCAACTCATAGGAGTCCATTTGTAGTTGGCAATTCAGGTGTAATTTTGAATTAACCGTTGCTTAAGGTCCAGGTGGATCAGATTAATTAAATAAATGACATGTTCGCTTTACAAACTAATGATGATCAGTAATGAGGCCAAACAACCAGGCCCTTATGTCCAAATGATAATTGGGCCTGGCGTCTTAACAAGAAGCCCAAGGCTGGGCCACTTCAAAAGCTGTATTTCCGTCTGCCTATATAGGGCCAAGTTTGAAGGCCCAAAAATTGCTGAAATCCAAAAATCCTTTAAACTACATTAGGAATATGGGAATTAATTTGCAAATATAAATTTAGGTTCTCGAGTTAAGTAGCGGGTTCAAATTAGGAGGGTTTCCCCTTTTGTTTGAATTCGGACTTGAACTCGAGGCCCGAATTTTTAAGTGTAAATTAAATAGACACTTTTTAGAGAAAAATAATAAATAGAAAGAATCGTAGTTGCTTTAGGTTGGCCTTTAAATAAAAAATGAGACGAGCCTCGCCAAATAAAACATACAAATTGCGGGGCCCTCATTAAATGTTTATACCAAAATACTTAGAATTCGGGACGTGCCTTTAGCGAATTTTCATGGCCTCCCGCAAAGTTAATAACACGCTAGCCATTTTAGGCGCGCTTTAATAATTTTACCTTCTTAAAATAAGGGTGTGCATTTCATGCAACCCAAATCCAAATCCCAAAACGTTGAATAAGAATGTGTTAAGGATCCGGGTGCATTTCATGTGACGTGATCCGAAAACACGTTCTTAAACGACGTTCACTTTCTTAATAATTGACTAAAAGCGGTAAGTAATTCTAAAATCGCACTATAGGTTTAACATGTATTAAAATCAGATTTTAGCCAAAGATAGCAGTTGAGCGATCATGGTAGAACCACGGAACTTGGGAGTGCCTAACACCTTCTCCCGGGTTAACAGAATTCCTTACCCGGATTTCTGGTTCGCGACTGTTAATACAGAGTCAAACCCTTTCCTCGATTCGGGATTCAAACCGGTGACTTGGGACACCATAAATCTCCCAAGTGGCGACTCTGAACTTCTTAATAAACGAATCCCGTTTCGATTGTCCTTTAATTGGAAAAACTCCTTGTATTACTCCTCTTCCACGGGGTGTAGTAGCGAAAAAAGGAGGTGTGACATATATAGCAATAGATTTATCGGTCTCAGCCTTCGTCTTCTCAGATTTGGTTTTAGCCTGTACAGCTTCAGCCTTAGCCTGTGCAGCTTCTGCCCGGGCTTTAGCTAGCTCGGCCTCCAACCCCTCGATTTTCCTGGCCTAAGCCAGACCCTTCGCTTCAACACCTTGGATATGAGCTTCAGCCGAGGCCAGTTGGGCTGTAACAACTTCCTTATCGGCAGCAAGTTGATCCATGTTCTTCTTCCACTAATGACAATCAGCCCGAACTTGATCTACCTCGCCCCGGAGCTGCCCAATCATATCAAGCTTTTGCTGCAGCTGAGATATCGAGGTATTAACCTCCGAAGTAGGGCCAAGAAGGCCGAACTTTGTTAAAATTGTAGTTACCTGTTCATCTAACTCGGACTCGCTTTTTTGAGCTTTGGCCAATGCGATTCGGAGATCCTTAAGCTCCTCTTCCTTCTGGCTACAGAGGAGCTCAGGGCCTTCTCTTTACCCGAAACCTTCTTGAGCTCAGCCTCACATTGGCTAAGCTCAGCTCTAAATTTCACGATGGCCTATAAGTGGAATGGAGACATATCATTCAAAAAAAAAAGGAAGAAAAATTTACAATAAAAGGGCAAGTCCTTACCCGGGAAAGGAGACGTTGAGCCTCTTCAAAAATGGAGGATGCATCATTAAAGTTGTTGGCATCCTCAATCCCAGCGTAGCAACCCTAAAAAGGATCGTCCTCGATAATCTTATTTGGGCCGGGCATACGCAGAGCGTTGGCTTCTTCGATTGCCCCCTCGGAATAAGTTGGCAACGAAAGGGAGTGACCCGTTGTCGCGGCCCCGAGATCTTCTCTCGCGGAATTCTCATTAACATTGGGAGACTCAGCATTTACCCTCTCCGGTATAGTTGTTGAAGACGGAGGGACAATCTCGACCTCCGGGGATGCAGGGGCCTTGCCCGTTTCTTCCTTTGGGGCATCCTCACGACGGGACGAGGTTTCCAGTTCGGAAGGCTTGGCGACCTCGACTGGCTTCCCGGTCCGAGTCACCAGTGCCGACTCTTCATCATCATTTTCTTCATCATCCGGGGAGTCATGGGCCGAGTCTGCGCCCGTTTGAGCAAATCTTCTCTGTAGCCTTCGAGCGGGGGTTTTCTTGTCTTGAGGGTCTTCGAATTTCGAGACCCTTTTTCTTTTGTTGTCCTTCTCGGACTTCGGATTTGAAGGCTTGGTTTTTTCCCCAGGCGGAGCTGGCCTCATCTCGGATGCATCGCCAAGGCCTGCACGGGCAAGCGTGAGTAAGTAAAAACGCCGCCGATGTATGGAAAATATTGAAACTGTTGAAAGGCACTTACCGTGGTTCTTGGCCTCCCACTGGCCCTTCGATAATTCACGCCACTTGCGCTCATCATAGGAAGAAGTGGCAGCTAACTTTCGGACCCAATCCTCGAGGTCGGGCACCGCTGGGGTGCCCAGGCATTAGCTGCCAAAAGAAAGATAGAAGCGTTATGGAAAATGGAAGTAGAATATGAATAGATACGGGAATACGGACTCCACTTACGGTTAAAGTTCCACCTCTCCGGGAATGGCATTTTATCTCCGCGGATGACGTCCGAAGTTCTTACTCTAACAAACCGGCTCATCCAACCCCGATCTTTGGGTTCGTCGGTACTGGCAAAGAAGGCTTTCGTTGTTCGGCGTTGCAGCTTGATGAGCCCTCGAAATAACTGGGGCCGATATAATCGAACCAGGTGGCTGAGGGTGAATTCCAAACCCTCGGCCTTCTCAGAGAAATACCGCAACATGATCACGATACGCCAAAAAGAAGGGTGAATTTGGCCGAGGGTGACTTCATACGTTTTGCAGAAGTCAATCACCACCGGGTCGAGGGGACCCAATGTGAAGGGGTAAGTGTAGACACTTAAGAACCCCTCCACGTGGGTAGTAATGCTTTCGCCGGGTTTCGGGATCTGAACCTCGACCCCATCTCCCCAGCCACAGTCCTTCTTTACATCCTCGACAAGCTTCGTCGTTATCAAGCTAATATATCGAGACGCGTGTTCGCATCGACCTGGTACGTCGGAGGGATTCTCAATACTAAAGTCCTTCTTAATAATGCAAGGACCAGGGGTGATCTCCTCAAGTGTTGGCGGCACCACCGGTCTGGCCGGCCGGGAGGCAGAAGAAGACGATGTTTTGTCCTTTTTGGGGACCATCTTGGAAGTTTTGGCCATGGTTGTAAGATAAATAATACGGGTGCACAGGGATATGGTGTTTCCGGCAAGAGCTTGGCGTTTTTCTGGCGCTTAAAGAGGCGGAGGAAATGGGTGATTGGAGAAGAGATGAAGATGGGAAAGCGGTGAAGAAAGAGTAAAGTTCTTTACTTAGAGGAATCGCCTCATATTTATAGAAGGGCAACGACGGTTCGGCGGCATTAGTGGCCGACCAATACTGGCATGCATTCAATGTTTTTAGGGAAGTGGACCGACGGGACGTTTCGGTCACTTCGAACGCTTGCATCACAGGGATGACATCATCACGAAGGACTTCGGAAATCCAAATCGTTTCATATCATTTCATTCTAAGCAACGCGGGGACTATCTGTATACGGTGGAAATTGGAGTGCTCGATTTCAAAGACTGGATTACACTCCGAGTCCAAGTTCTGGAAGACTCAAAGTAAGAATCAAGCCCGGCCCGGATGGACGCACCTCGAGAAGCAAATCGGGGACCCGTCATGATCTGCCTCGAGGGCAGTACAATTTCGAGGACACTCAAGAAAGAGCGGGAATTTCCAAGAACACGTGGGTCAGGGTATAAAGTAAGGGATAAGATTTGTACGAAATAGTACAAGTCCGTACTAGGTTGTTATACAGCTGTACCAATAGAATTCTTTACCATAATTAGGAATCTACCATATTAGGGTTTTCCCCTTCTATATAAAAGAACCCCAATTTTTGTGAAGCATATCTCATTCTCTGCAATAGAACATTCTACTCTGCTTTTCTTGTTTACCGTGCTCAACAATTATTCCTCAGCTTTATTGTCTTTACTTTATTGTTCTTGGCACACTTCGAGGCCCCTGAGATAATCGAGCTCGAGATCCTTATTGCTCTAACAACACTGGTTTGGTTCATTAATTATTCTTAGTTAAACTTAATATTATTTGTACATTCACTAGTATTAGAATAAATCACATATCTTTAAAATCATAAATCATATTTAATTGTTACTCACATTTTTTGAGGTAAACAACCTCCTTTGGTATATTTCTCTTATATTGTCTGATTTATCATTGTTCAAGTTTTGTTTTGCTAGCTTCCACATGATACCTTATTTTTTCGATCCTAACAGATATTCAGCCAAAAAGAATCACCTCTATTATGACGGCCATTGATCTGTCAAGCAACCATTTTGAAGGTGTAATTCCGAAAACACTATAAAGGATCTTGGCTCACTTTGGCTACTCAATTTATCCCATAACAATCTCAGAGGTGATATTCCAAAGGAACTGGGACAATTGAATATGCTTGAAGTGTTAGATCTCTCCTGGAATCGGCTCACAGGAAATGAAAAGGGGATTGACAAAACTAAACTTTCTGGCAGTCTTAAACCTCTCTCAGAATCGTCTTGTTGGACCGATTCCTCAAGGTCTACAATTCGACACATTTTCAAATGACTCGTACGTTGGCAACCTTGATTTATGTGGTCTTCCTTTATCAAAGCAATGTGGAACGAGTAATCCATCGCATGTTCCTCAACCATTGGAGTCCGAAGAAGAAGAAGACGAGTCATATTTTGTTAGTGGATTTACTTGGGAATCAGTAGTCATAGGCTACAGTTGTGAACTTGTTGTTGGAACTGTTGTGTGGAGCTTCATGTTTAAAGGTGGTAAGCCTAAATGGTTTGTGGAGTTTTTTGAAGGCATCATTCCCGACAAGAAGATAAGGCCAAAGAAGAGAGCTCAGAGACGACGAACTTAACTGGAAAAATCCCATCAATATAAGTATGCTTTAGTCTGTGTTTTAATTTGTTGTCTAAGTGAATTTCTCTGTTTGTGTTTTTCTCTTTTTAATTTTTTGTTTATTATTTTTATATGTTTGATAGCAACTTACTTGTATGTGTTATTTTAGCGTTGATGTTTGTTCAAGTTAAGTTACTCTGATTCAGTGTTAAAAGGTAAAAACTGAAGTATAGACAGAGAGGAAAAGCACTAATAAATATGTGATAACATCATGTTACTTCTCCTTTGTTTCTTGTCTGCAATATAGTTATAGGTTCTGCAATTGTTTTTGACAGGAAGATCAAGTAGTAGCTCCAATAGTTTAGTAGCAGAACTTTTTATTTAGTATTCTGTAGCTGCAATTATGATCAATTTTATACAGTAACTCCATCTGTTCTATTTTAATAATATTGGGTGTGCGAACAAAGTCTTACATTAGTAGCTGAAAAGATTGGGAGCCTACATATAACGTGTAGGGATCTCTTAATGGTGTGAGGTCTTTTGAGGAAAATCGTGTGGGCTTGGCCCAAAGCGGATAATATCACACCATGTTAAGAGAATCATTGGACCGGTTTAGCCTAACAAGTAAATATAATTCTAGCATTGGCATTTACGGAATCAAGGAAATCCTATTGCAGAAGCATGTAGTCCCCGTGCGTAAAGTATTTCGCGTTTACGCATGATCCGGGGAAGAGTCGCACCCCAAGGGGGTGTAATGTAGGCAACCTACCCTGATGTAAGTATCAGTGACTAATTCCACGGCTCGAACTCCTGACCAATAGGTCACACGGAAACAACTTAACCGTTTCTCTAAGGCTCCCCTTCCTACGGAAACATGTAGTAGACATAAGATATATCAAGCTTTATCCGCAACAACTTGATCACAAGAATCTTGTATTGAATCGTGAGAACGAACAATGATTCTTTCAGATGAAAAAAATATGTCAAAGTAGAAATTAATAACATTGTGTCAAAATCGTGAGACCTCACATCACATGGGAAAAGACTTCTTAATCTTGACTAGCAACAATGTTCCACACTAGACAAGAAGAAAACACAGATCCAACTACGGCTCTGGTGTGTTCCCTTAACCAAGCCACTAGCAACTTATACTTCAACAGGCATGCGGTCAGAGCCCTGGTACATCCCACGGCTAGGGAGCATACAGATTCATGTTCTATTTCACTCTTCGATGAGGATTCTTTTCACCCTTCACGGTTACTTTAATTTGCTATCGGTCGTTCAGGAGTATTTATCCTTGCAATATGGTTCTTGTTGATTCACACGGAATTCTACGTGGCCCGTGCTACTCGAGTCAAAGCATCACAGCTTATATATTCTCAAGGCCAACGAAAAATCAGAAACCCCAAATTTTGCAAAATCATTAGGCCGCTTTAAATATATGCATGAGGAAGGGAAAAAGAAATGTGATAAATTTTCAATCTTGTATTTCTTAAATTGGTCTAGCCAGAACTCCTAAATTGTTCGTGCACTATCATTTCTTAAGGAAATAGTGTTTGAATCATCCATGTGGGTCAACCCATAATTTATATTCTAATAAATAATTATATATATATATATATATATATATATATATATAATTATATATGTTTTGATGTTACTTTACTCATGTGTTAACCGCTTTTTGTTGCTATTTGGTGTTAAAAATGCCCAACATGGTTTAATTATTGGATTTATGACTAATTGAGTTGTGTGTGATGATTTAGGGTGTTTGGAGAGCAAAAATATGAAGAAAAGATGCTCCAACTAGAGGAGAAAAGGGTGGATGCGTCGCATCCAATCTTGGAAAGAAGGCTACTTGGTGCCCCTTAGCAGTGAAGTCGGCCCATAGCATCCCCATAGCATCCGCACCTGGGCAAAGCTGAGATGGAGGAACAAAGGGCGGATGCGAAGCATCCACCCTAACATGCGAAGCTGAGAAGCGGAGGACGAGGTGGATGCGAAGCATCTACCCCAACATCAATCCCTGAAGCTGAGTCGAACTAGGAATAGGAAAACTTTGGCCCACGACTTTTGTACGCAATATATAAGCCAAAAACACCTCTTTTAGGTCATCTAACATATTGGAAATCAAGAAAAAGCCACGACAAAGCTTGGGAACCACGGAATTCGTCTTGATTTCTTACTTTTTCCTTCTTTTATTGATTTTTATGTATTCTTGGGAATTACTTGAAATTATTACTATGAGCATGTGTGGCTAAGAACCCTATTGTTCTAGGGTCAAGGGTGAAACATGAATGTTGATGTTTGAAGTTTAATTTGATGAAGTTGATTTTATCATATTGGGTTGTTTATTTAATTCTGTTTTTAATTATTTCGCTGAGTAGCTAACAGTGAAATACTATCTACGAATCTAGAGTTGAACTCGAAAGTGAGAATTCTAGATTGCATATAGAATTAAATAGAGCAAGTTCTTGAACCCGGGCACTGGGGAACGGATTCACAATTAGGATAGAAATATACCTAATTGTCTTGATTGGTTGAAATACATGAAGTGTAAATGCATTCTTGTTGATCTTAATTCCATAGACATATAGGCATTAAGTTTGCTTGAATAGGCGAGTAAGAATTTGACAGATTCTTATGAGTAATATCAACCCTGTCAATCAACAATCCAGATAAATCAATTAGTTATTTTAAGCCAAGAATGCAATATGATTGTTAGCTAACCCGTGACCCTGGAATATTCTCTCCTACTGATTGTTATTTGAAATTGCTATTGTTTCGGTTGATTTTTAGTTCATCCATTGCTTGATAATTTTAGGTAGTAAATTAGTCACTTCTATATTTTGTGGGAAATCTCTTGAATCGATAAGTTAATTGAGTTTGATTCAGTCAATAGTTAATCACAAGTCTTCGTGGAAACGATACTCTACTCACTACTTTATTACTTGACGACTGCATACACTTGCGTGAGTGCGTTTGGCCGCAACAAGTTTTTGGCGTCGAAGCCGGGGACTTAGAAATTAGCTACTTGACTGAATTGAGCTTGTATTAGTTATTTATTGAAGTTTTAATTTTTAGTTTACCTTGTTTGTGTTAACGCAGGCTCTTCTCTTGAATACAAAGGAATAGAAGTGCAAACAATCTCCTTCCTCTTGATCCTGAAATTGAACGAACACTTCACAGAGTGAGGAGGGAAGTCGAAGCTAGAACTAGAATAGAAGGAGAGTTGGACATCGTAGTTCAACCACAGCCAATAGAGATGGCAGGTAATGAAGAGCGTGCAGTGATTGAAGCCGCAAGGCCCAGCCTAGCTAATATGAATCATGCTGTTGTGAAGCCTGAGATCACAAGCCATTTTGAACTCAAATAGTACATTGTACAACTGATTCAGTCCTCATGGCAATATGTGGGCCTATCCCATGAAGACCCGCAGAGGCACATCCAGAATTTCCTGGAAATTACGGATACTTACAATTATCGGAACGTTTCCAAGGACTATGTCAAGCTGACACTTTTCCCCTTTTCACTGTGGGGGAAGCTAAGAAATGGTTGCAAAAGGAGCCCGCGAACTCAATCCACACTTGGGATGATCTAGTAAGAAAATTCATAATCAAGTTTTTCCCCACTAAGAAGACAAAGTCATTGAAGAGTCAGATTCTTGGGTTCGAACAACGGGATGGCGAGACATTTCGTTAAGCTTGGGAAAGATACAAGAAGCTACTCTGAGACTGCCCGCATCATTGTCAGACTGATGAGGTATTAGGTCACACTTTTATTGATGGGCTAGATGAGGCATCAAAGATAAATCTTGATTCAGCTTGTAGGGGAGTTGCATGGTGAAACCGTATAGTGAAATCCAACTCTTGCTAAATAACTTCACTGCTAATGATCATAATTGGCAAGGAGATGGGGATTCACGAAGGGCAATTAAACAGGAAGCAGCCGGGTTGATTGAGCTTGATGACTTCTCAGCCGTGAGAGCTAATATAGCAAAATTGGCAAATCAGATGAATAAAATGACAATGCAACAAACACAACAGATGCAACATGTACAACAGATGTCTATTTGTTGCGAACTATGTGGTGCCAGTCATATGAGTGACATGTGCCCACGAATCCTGAATCTATATACTATGTGGGGCAACAAAGCAGAGGTCCAATGAATCAGCATGCACAATACGGGAACACTTACAATTCAAATTGGAGGAATCATCCTAACTTCTCATGGGGCGGAAATCAACAGAATCAAAATCAGTATAGGCCCCAAGGAAATTTCAATCAGCCTCAGAAGCCACCCCAACAAACAGAAGAGAGTACGAATGACTTGTTGAAGTTGTTGCTTGACAATCAACAGCTCGGGACCGATTTTAGAAATCTTGAGAGGCAAATGGGGCAGTTAGCGGCAAATCAAAATACTAGACCTGCTGGAGCTCTCCCGAGTGGCACTGAGCCTAATCCTAAATCTCAAGTCAATGCGGTTACCTTGAGAAATGGAAGAGAATTGGAAGAAGTTCTAGAGAAAAAGAAGTATACAGCTAGACCTGAAGGAGAATTAGTTCCTAAGCCCGTTGAGGAGAATAAGAAAGAAAAGCTAGAAATTGTGACAAGGCCACCACCTCCGTTTCCACAAAGACTTCAAAAGCAAAAAGATGATGCTATATACAAGAAATTCTTAGATATTTTGAGCCAAGTGCGTGTGAATTTGCCATTGGTGGAAATTTTGCAGGAAGTGCCTAAGTATGCAAGGTATCTTGGGGATATTGTGGCAAACAAGCAAAGACATACAGGGTTTGAAACAGTTGCACTTACTGAAGAGTGCAGTGCTAGAGTTCAGAGTAAACTTCTTCCTAAGTTGAAGGATCCTGGGAGTTTCACAATTTCGCTGTCTCTCGGAAAACAAGAAGTTGGTAGAGCCCTGTGTGATTTAGGGGCTAGTATAAATTTGATGCCATCCTCTTTGTTCAAGCAACTCGGATTGGGCGTGCTTAAACCTACTACAATCACTTTGCAGTTGGCTGATAGATCACTAGTTATGCCAGAAGGTATTATTGAGGATGTGTTAGTTCGAGTGGGAAAGTTTATTCTTCCTGCTAATTTTATTGTTCTTGATTACGAGGCAGATGAGGAAGTACCTATTATTATGGGGCGACCATTGTTAGCTACTGGTGGAGCACTTATTGATGTTAGGGAAGGGAAGTTGAAGGTGAGAGTTGGCGATGAGGAAATCACTTTTAATGTGTACAAGGCACTTAATCTACCTAAGCATTATGAGGACTTGTGCATAATTACTGCGGTAGAACTGAAGGGGATAAAGCAAAGTCCTTATGCGAATTGTAGTGATTCGGATGGGACGGCTGAATTGGAGGAGGTGGTGTTGCAAGCTGAGTGAGTAAGGATGATTGAGAAAAGAGCCAGAGATAAAAGAGGAGACCTTCTGAGAGCGTGTAAAAAGGCTAGGCTTAATGGGAGAAAGAAGAAGAGAAAGCACCCAGCCTGAACAGAGTAGCAGTGTCGTGCCGCGACGTTAAATTAGGCACTTGTTAGGAGGCAACCCAGCTTTACTGCTTTCTTTTATTTTTGACTTTTTTTATTGTATTATTTTTATAGTGTTGTTTTATTTTGTAGGATTTTGAGCAGAGGGAGCAAAGCCATAGGAAGTGTGCAAAAGTGAGCCATGTGGTTGGAACTAAGTGTGGGGTGCCCGAACAAAGGATCATACTTGGGAGAAGTCTGAGTATCTTGTGAGCTGCTAATGCTTCGGCCTTTGGCCTACCAAGGAGTCTCTTTTGCCCTCTTGTTATTTACAGTGTGCATTGAGGACATTGTACAATTTTAAGTGTGAGGTGAGGAGATTGTTTGAATGATTTTCCGTGCTATCCTAGGTTAGTTGTAGTTTCTTTCTTAGTGTAGTAGTTTTTATGTAAAGAAAAAAATAATTTTTGAAAAAAACATTAAAAAATTTAAAAAATAAAAAAAATTGAACTTTTCCCGATGATGGATCTCCTAGACAGTTTTCTTGAGGGATTAAAGTCTAACCAAAAATACTAAAAAAATAGAAAAACATGCCTTTTATATTTCTTTTAGGTAGTAATAATCCCCTGTGGTTTTTCTTTGTGCATCAGTTCTTTTCCATGGGATGTATTTTGAACTGGGTAGTAGTTTTTAATTTTTTTTCTTTTAGAGTAGATTAAGAATTTAGAGAATAAATGGAGGAAGGATGATGAACTTAGGCGCCTTTGACTTGTTTGATAGTAGCATAATTAGGCTTTGGCATGTGTAGTATCTTCCTATGATTTGAAATTATTGATGATGCCTTGCTGAGTTGGATAACATGTTTCGTGACGCTTATTTCTCGTTTACTTGACTTATGTTCACTTTGTTCTTAATGCTTAATATCTTGTGGCTCCGTGAATACTTACATTATTAGAGAGTCGGAATGGGACCGTCCATAGTGAGTCATGTGCCATGTGTGGTGAGATTTTTGTGTAGTCTATATATTGTACTTGTGTCTAGAACTTGCCCGGTATGTGAGTTGAAGCGAAATTTGAGGTGATGCTCAATTTGAGAAATGATTTTAGGCTTTCTTTGGTCTTTTTGAGCTTAAATGCTCATCACAAATAAGATATATCCCTAGTTAACCCTTTTGAGCCTATATACTTTTATTTGGCACCCACATTACAAGCCTATACCCTTTTTTTATTCTCAATTGACATTATTTTGATCCTTTTACCTCTTAAAGCACTTTAATTGTGAGATGAGCGCTAAAAGAAGTAAGAAGGAACTAAGTGTGGGGTGGCTTTTGAGTGGAACCAACGAAAGGAAGAAATGTGCACTTGTTTTGTAAAATAATACACCACTAGCGGAAATTGAAAAAAAGTTGTTGGGAAAAAAGAGAGAATAATCTGGAAAAAAAAAAAAGGAAAAATAGAGATGAATAAATTGTTGTCTTGTTCTGGCTAATGGGTATGAATTAAAGTAGTGCTTAAAGAAGAAAAGAATATTTTTGGGGGTAATATTGTTTGTGAAAGTGAAGCGGATTGAAGAATTTGCGCTTAAAGTTTATCATATGATGTCTTAAAGTGCTTAGGAGGTTGAGTTACTATTACTAAATATATCCTACTCATCCCTTAGCTCACATTACAACCATAAAAGTCCTAATTGATTTTAGATCGAGTGAGCCAATATTAGTAGAGATTTACATTAAGGGCAAGCCTATGGTACCAAGTGCATGCATATGACTTCTTTGTGAGAGTGAGCGGAGTTTCTCTGAAATAAGAGTCCTTAAAATATATTTGAGAATTTGATTCGAATGTGTGGATTCTTCTTATTCTTTTTGCTTTTATTGTGAGGGCACATGGTTTTACGAGGGATAGGTAATTGTATTGGGAAAAAAATAAATTTATATATTGAAGATGACGTGTCATGACACGTGGATTGGTCAAATGGTCAAAACGTGGTAATCAGTTAGGAGGCACGAGCCACAACAGATGCGTGAGAGAAGATACTTAAAGGCACGAGCTATTATTCAAATGAAATGAGACTCGTACCTGTTCGAGTCATTTAAAGCTCATGAATCTGATAGCGTAAAAGAGTCCAAATTCAGCATTAAATGCCAAATACGTTAGAGAATTTGTATTTAATAGGAATGATTGAGTAACGTTTCTTTTAATGTCATTTATTGCTCATAATTGCCTTATTAAGACAAAGGCATTACACTTTCTCTTAGAATTAACTATAAAAGGAGAAGGACTCAACATTTGTAGGACACGAAATATCATCGAGATTATACTGAAATATATACTTATTCATTGCTTTATTGTTGTTCTCAAAGTCTCTCATTTCTTTATTATCAGTAACCTGATTTCTCTCTTAATTTCTAGCTTTAACCAAATATTCAGTTTTTTGGTTAAACAAATTGGTTCCGTTACCGGGAATCTGATAATCTATTCTTTTTAAGTTACATTTTATCTGTTGTTATCATCATGTCAAACAAAAACAAAAACAATAACGGTGATGAAAATCAAATCCATCAGAATCAAGGAGATTTACAAAACATTAACGTGGTTCCTTCCCCTCAAAATTCACCACGTCAATCTCGTGAAGGTACTCCTGCTCCTGAATCTCGTGCTGATGAACAAGAGCAATCTGAACATTTTGAAGGGCCAGATGAAGCTTTACAAAAAGTATTTGATGCACGGGTTAGCAAAGCTCTTCAAGCTCTAGTTAGTCGATTACCTGTTGCACCACCTACACCTACGCCTAATAACAATACATTGGAGAATCCTCGTTCTGGCCTTGTTAATTCTGGAAATGGAGGAACCTCCAGTGAACCACAGGAAGGAGAACCAGGTAATTCAAATAATTCTCATTTGCAAAATTTAGTACTAACTTTGCAGAAACAACTTAAGGAACAAAATGAGCGCATCGAGCAAATCCCTGGAGTTCCCCCTGTAATCAAAGGAGTGGATGTGGATAAATACTCGCAACAACCTAGGAAACCAAGTGCTGCTCCCCTTCCAATCCCTATAAAGTTCAAAATGCCTGACATCTCGAAATATGATGGCACAACAGACCCACGTGATCATATAACTGCATTTACTGCAGGTGTAAAAGGCAACGATTTGACCAAGCAAGAAATTGAATCCGTGTTGGTCAAGAAATTTGGAGAAACACTCACTAAGGGTGCATTAACCTGGTATTCTCTTTTACCTGAAAATTCTATAAACTCTTTTGCTGAGCTTGCAGATTCTTTTATTAAAGCGCACTCGGGAGCTCAAAAGGTTGAAAAAAGAATGGAAGATATTTTCAAAATTAAACAAGGGGACTCAGAGTTGCTCAGAGATTTTGTTGATAGATTCCAACGTGAAAGGATGACTTTACCCCGTGTACCTGATAATTGGGCTGCAATAGCTTTTGCAAGCAACTTAAATGACAAAAGTTCAGAAGCCACGAGAAGACTTAAAGAAAGCCTTCGAGAGTTCCCTGCAACCACGTGGAAAGACGTTTATAACAGGTACAGTACGAAGTTGCGAATTGAGGAAGATACCGTACCTCAGTTTCATCATGAAGAAAGGAGCAATTCCAGGAGGTCAGAAACCAAAAAAAGATCAGGTAAAAACAGATACGATCCATATATGGGACCTGCAGGAAAAGACTCACGGTCAAAGGAGGATAATAAACGATATGATCAAAAATCGAGGAACAGGGAATTTGGTTCTTCATCAAGGTTCAGAAATGACCGAAACAGACAAGAGTCACGAGGTGATGACAGAGGTTTAAAAGCGAGATTCGGTGGGTATAATTTCAATGTCACTACCTCCGAGCTCGTAGCTGTTTTAAGGAGCATGGGAGACAAGGTACGGTGGCCAAAAGAGATGCGGTCAAATCCAAATAGGCGCAATCTAGATCATTGGTGCGAATTCCACAATGATCTCGGGCATAAGACTTCAGAATGTAGATTCTTACAAAGTGAAGTGGATCATCTATTGAAACAAGGGTATCTCACTGAGTTATTTAGTGAGAAAGGTAAGCAAGCCTATATGAAAAATAGGCAAGAGCCACCAAAGCCCCCATCACCCAAGAGAACCGTGAATATTATAAGTGGGGGAGAAGATATTTATAATGTAACATATACGGCTTCCAACAAAGTTTCTAAAGTAATGATTACACACGGGAAACGGGTACGACAAGTTTTAGAAAATGAAAGTATTTCTTTCGATGATGCAGATACTGAAGGAGTAATGACCCCCCACAACGACGCACTGGTAATATCTTTACTTGTACATGACACTAATGTAAAACGAGTTTTGATTGATCCAGGAAGTTCCGTAAATATTATACTACTAAGGGATTACGTGAAATGCAAGTTGAAGACAAAATGATACCGAAAGCGCGTACCTTGTCCGGGTTCGACAATTCAAGTGTAGTAACAAAAGGAGAGGTAGTTCTAACAACTTTTGCTGCAGGTGTTGTTAAAGAAACTAAATTTCAGATAGTAGATATGGAAATCGCTTATAATATAATCATGGGGAGACCTTGGATCCATGATATGGATGTTGTCCCATCAACTCTACATCAAGTTATTAAATTCCCATCTCCATGGGGGAATATGCCAAATTAGAGGCGATCAACAAACATCTAGAAGCATCAATTCCGTTGCAGATTCAATTGTTAATGGTGGAGACAAATAGCAATTACAGAATTTAGGTGAGGGTACCACGGAGTCAACCTCACCTGAGCAAAAACAAACAGATGTGGATTCGAGACCTGACACCATTCAAGAACCGGAGGAGAACGAAAATATCAAAACAACGATAGAAGAGCTAGAGGCCGGGGTTTTGTTTATACATTGGCCCGAGAGAAAAGTATACATAGGAGCTAATCTTAGCC